AGGCCGAAATACCACCTCCACCATCTGGGACAGGACAGTGACTGGACTAAACTTTGATATGAAGAAATAATGCAGGAATGTTCTTTGAGTTTGTACCAGTTTTGGAGAAAAGACTCAGAACACTACAGATAGCCACAAATGTTCAACATATGAGGGTCCAGCCCACAAAAGAGATGACCTAAATACAAACAGCTGAGGTCTGCACTGTATGGTGAGATTCAGTTTAATTTAAACCGTGCACTATCAGAAACAACTCTCAAATACACTGTAGCCCTGAATATGTCTAATATATTCAGCTCAATTGACCTTTAACCCACGCAACAATTACACAGTATTATGTGAATCATCATGAACTTGTTTTTAAAGATACATTCATTTTCACAGATGTATGGGACAACAGCGCCACCTCATGGAAAAGTCAAACAGTGAGTACATAACATGCACAATACTGTGAAATTATACATTTTCCTTTTGAAAACAGTATTTCTATATTAGGACTCAAAACTGGGTAATTTAATGAATAAGTATGTTTTCGATGTTTAACTTTTTATGACTAAAATATTTGTAGCAAAAGTGCACTACTATTAATAAATATATTGATTAAGAATGATAATCACATAATGCACAATATAATACACTGGAGCTGTTCTTTGAAAGTGGAAGCCTGATAAAATGAATAGATAGCATTGATATTTTGCAGCTGATGTCATCAATATTCCCTGGGGGTGTGAAGCTAACTGAAAGTATTGCTCTGTTAGACACTTTGTTACTCAAGTTGGACTTAATTTGAGCTTTATTTTAACACAATCTGCCCTGAAAGAGTTGGAACTACAACAGGTTAGCTGTTTTATGTACTTAAAAAGTCTTTCACTCATAAAATTACAGTCACAAGCATTAGCCTTAGTCAACTGTTTCTCTCACCCTTTTTTGTTGAAAATTTTAATCCAGAAAATTTGTTATTTAAATCCATTTGGTATTTTTTCTGTCTTTTTTATCTGTGTTTGCTAAGGTGTGAATTGTGTCACCCTGGCAACTGCTGAACATTCTGCCTATAGAGTTACATCCAGAACAGCCCCATACATAAATTGCACCCTACAATATGTGTACTTTATAGTTTTTAAGTATTATTATTTGTATTCATTTTACTAACTAATTTCTCATCTTATTTTATTTATTTTATTGATTTCATTTTTTTTTCTATTAATTTTTCTATATTTTTTTTCTGTCTAATTATTTGTTGGACCAAAACAGTGTAAATTTGCTCCCAAATAAACTTAAGAAATTCACTACATGGAATTTTTCATCATTAGAAGAAGAACAGAGGCTCTCTCTTTCTCAAAATTTCACTAGACATATTTGCTAAATTCTTAACATATTTGTGTTGATTTTTATAGATTTTATTGACATTGTGGTTGACCGCAGTTTGCCCCTTTTTAATACCATGTCTGATTTAGGCCTATAGATTCAAGTAGTTATTAATCTTTATCAAGGACACAGAAAGCATATGTGGTAAGTAGTTAAGAAATACATAACTTAGATACATATTGTAGTACAAATAAACCATTAATTTTAGCATATAATTCTAACAAAACAACCACCATGCTCATTCATAAACATAGTTCTTGATATGAATTAGAAACCTAATATTGTTTTCTTACACAAACATAATTTATCCTTAGAAAATGTGGCACTTGTTCCACTGAGCTTTTTATGTTTAGTCTATGAGAAAAATTTATGTGAAATTTAGTTCCAGAACAGGGGGGGTGGGCGGTCACTGCTGATCTCCATTACAGTACGGCAATTGTATTTAAGCTCAATATCACAAGGTATTTTGGCCAGTATTGTAAGTAAATCATCTTATTACACAAATGTAGCTATTCAAAATGGGATATTGCCTGAACTGATAGCCGATCCATCAAAATGTTCATATATCTGATACCAGTGTCAACGGTGCATCCCTAATTTCACAGTACAGTCACATTGGCCAACTGAGAGTGTGACTGTGAACTATTGATTCACCCACGAAAAAAAGCTTTAGATGTGGACCATATTATCTGGTCTTCTTCAGCGTTGTATTAACCTTATCACCGGTTGATAAAGAGTTGGTTGTTTACACTGCTCTATCACTGATTATGTGTTAGACAGTCATATAGCTTTATGTTTATAGAAGAAATACCCTTTATGTTATCTTGAAAAGGAGCATTGAATTCAGCATTATCTAAGTTTAGAGAACAGACCGAGGCAAATGGGCAATCAATCATAGTAACTGATAGGGTGTAACATTTTAACAGGCTAATCAAATCTCCCAATGACATATAATTGTAGTTTCAGTTAACATCCAGCAGAGAGCAGTATATACTTGTGGTCAAATTAAAGTGTGAAATGCAAACTCTGAAAACCATAAGATCTTTTTGTCAAATTTTTGGAATTTTCATAAGGCCAGATGTTACTACTACTTATGAAACATGAATAATCACTTCTAAACAAGTAAAGGTAAATTAATTGCATCTTCTTTATGTTTCTACATTTAGTGACCCACTGTTTGGAGAAAGACAAAAATGATAGTAATTCAGTGTATTTATTATTAATGATAAATGTGAGTTTCAGATAATATAATGCCATTTGAATTTGAATATAGTTCTTATTACATAACTAAAACAAAAAGCAAGGCTAAATAATTAGCTATATTGAAAATGCCTTAAAATGTTTTATGTTATGTTAAGTTATGTTATGTTATGTATGTTATGTTATGGCTCAGTGACTTCAGAATATTTGGTCAAATGCCAATGGATTAGATTCACAGTTTTGAAAACTAAGCTTAGTTTGAGTTGGTATGGGTTTATTTTTGTACATCACGTTTCGGGTGTTCTACATGTATCTCTAATGGTGGAATGTTCAGGAGTTACCAAGGAGACACATGGTACACTTTAGCAAACACAGCTTGATAATTTTTAAAGTTCATGTGATCACAACATTCTAAGTTTAATACTGAGCTGGAGGACTGGTCTGTTTAACTGTCCACAAACTGACACAAAGCATGTTCTCTATCAGCATATATGAAAAAAGGTTAGATTATATTTTCCTCCAGTAGTTTCAGAAAGTGGTTCCATTATTCAACCCCAAAGATGTGACTGGTGTCAGCTGAAAGGATTTAAAGCCATTAGTTTAATATGGCAAGTTTGTGGAGCCAGTCCAAGTTCAACATTTGTGGATCATATGTTTAATATTTCCTCTGTTTTCAAAAACTGTGGATCTCCCATAGAGTTATATAAGACTTTGTCCTCCTTCTGAAATTATGACCAAATTATCACCAAATTGTAAAACCTGACAGCGACCTATTGCAATACATTTGGGTACCACAGTGAGATCAGTTGCAACCCACTGCTCTAAACTACGTACAGTACATTACTCCATGAAATACAGCCAAAAATGAACCCACTGAAGTATGAATACATGTTTGCAGGTCAGGTTCAATGTGCTCATGAAGTTAAAATCAAATAATTATTCTATATTATTGTATGCAAATATATAAGTAGACTATATAAGTCTGACTATTGTCCACCTCTGATTTTTCTCTTTTTAATCATTTCAAAAACAAATCTCCCCCACATTTTACATGTTCACCCTGTCAACCTTTAACACTGAGGCCCTAACCCCTGCCTTCCCTCTGCTGTTGTATATCACTTGAACCAGTGCGTAAACCACACAACCACACTTGCCCTTAAAAATTAACAAGGCGCTCAACATACTTGTGGCCATTTGAATGAACAGCGTGCCCTGTGTGAGCTATAAATCAGGCTCAGAGCAGGCCTATGGGATTCTGCCCCTTAAAAGACCCTAATACGAAACATCAATAACCAAAAGACTTGGCATAACAATTATTGGCACCGCTGCAGGAACGTTATTGATTAGACATACAATATCAGATGAACTGGTTTCTGTGAGTGAATACATTTTGTTTTAAAATTAAATAACTAAAACAGATTTTTCTCTGCTACATGCAAAATTGGGTACAGGACCTTTTAAGTCACAGTATTTATTTTTGCATTATTATGTTTTGTAGGAGCAGATACACAGAGGAGAAACAAGTTTATTTATTCATTTATTTAATGGAGACACATATGTATATTAAACATGTAACACACTTGGTTATACTACAGCTAAGTCTAATTTACAATGTCTGCCCCAAGAGCAGCCTTAACAAAACAAAACAGTTCATAAAAATGCCAGTATACAAAGGCAAAGCATGCATTTATTCATTATTAGTTTTGTCCTGAAGTATAAATGTGATGTGTAGAATGTTGGCGGGGTTCAGAGGAGCTGATGGTGCAAATTAGCAGCTTCACCTCTGTCCCAGTCTGTCCCAGGGCAGCTGTGACTACAACAAAACTGAGTCTGGAAAAAAAAATATATATATATGAGACTAATGAATTATTATTATTTATCCACAAAATAATTATTACATTTTTGTTCACATAAAGTTATATGTTTTGGTATGTCAGTTGAAATACACCTTTGCACCTTTGTATTATACTTTACATCAAAACTTTGCAGCGTTTGAGCCTCTAAACTGAATTTTATTGTTTTCTATGACAAGGACAGTAAATATTAGAATTTTCAGTTTTGAATCTTAAATCTTGAGAAGAATTCAAGTCTGAGGCCAAGTTCAGATATGGACTAAACTTTGACTAAACTAGAATAGAAGCAAAAAACAAATCCAGGACTATACTGAGCTCAAACCAGGACCAAACCAGGACATGTGTGACCCCAAACACAGATTCAGGTCTGGCTTTGGTGTTACCTGGAATTATATATGTTATCTTTCTAGGTCAAATGCAGAGGACACATTTCTCTATGGGAACAATAAATATGAGTCAGTATTCCTTAGTTGGAGTGGAGTCGTCTTTGGTCCACTGCAGCCTAACCCCATGACTTAAGCATGAGTCCTGGGTATGGGGAGTCCCTGTGCACGCTTGGCTGCCAGGGGAGTGGAGAGGATGAGGAGGGAGAGGATGAAGGCAGCGCCGGGTTATATTTAATCCAGCCGCGCTCCTCTTTGGGATAATAACTTTTTTGCTCCATTCCAGGACTTGTCTGTCATCTTGACACGGCAATATCTCCCAACTCCACTGTTTCATAGTCAGTTTCATTTATTTCCAAATACCATTTCACACCCTGCTGGCTTTAACTAGGTATTATACAGCGAGAGGGGAGCGCGCGGGAGATTGAATCGTGACAGAGACAACAGCGGTTCTGCCTGAAAAATAAGTGAATATTGTAAGTGGCAGACTATATGAAATGATTTTTTGGCTCCATTTTCTTGGCATGAATTTGTGTGTTTGTCATTGTGGTGTGCTCAAACTCATGCGGGATGTCTACGCGTGATGAAATTTGCCACGTTGATTTTGTTTTCCGCCTTTTAAATTCACTTGAGAGTAAAGAACCGGAAATGGCACATGCAGTGGTAGCAAAGAGGGATGTGTATCTGTTGGAAACTATATCATTTGAATCTGTGTTACAAAAACATATTACCATATATAAAATAATACAGGTTAACGTACTTGATATCACATTTTAAGCAGACATAGTGGTGTATGCAAGTAGCACCCTCTTTAAAATATCAAAATATTTAGAAGTTACAGCACTCTTGGCAATGCTACAAGTTGTTTCAATTTTGGAAAGGTGTAAGTAAAGAAATGGGTAAAAAAAACTCCATCACTCGCAAATGGTATAAGGACGATTATGGAGAGACTTACAAATATTATAAGCAAGCAAAATGAGATGATTATTGCGAAAAGGTTGCAACAAGCAATATGTGAGGATTGCTGGTTTATTTGAACGACAACTGACCATTTGTTCTGTATACTTTATTTTGTTATATTTTACTATAATATGAAACAGTAAAATATAAGATTACAGTACTCGGAAGTAAAATAAGGAACAGTATACTGTAAGGTCTTACACTTGCCTGGCATATCTAGATTTATATCTGTCTAGTCCCGACACCCTCTGTTATGTCTCGAGCATGTGAAACGAAGGAGCTCATTGGTCGTCTATCATTTACAAACAAAATGACATTTATCTCACCTCAGATTAACTCAGTTTAATGCTTCGCTTCCCGATTCTGCAGTAATATGCTCTATTTTGTGATTTTTTTCCCTTGTAAGCAGGCAAATTTGTTTTGACATGGGCGATTCAGGCGTGTTCCTGATTGGCTAATCCACCTGTCAATCACACCCATTTGAAAAGTGGGTAGATTCACCAGTGACTAGACTCAAATCTTCATACAGTATTGAAGAATGTGTGAGTGTATTCTGGATCTCAGGCACGTCTTACACTACTGTTGATTTGGCTTGAAATATTTAATGAGCATTTGGCCTAAATGAGTAGTTAATTTCAGCCCTATTACTGAAAGTATTTAAGGTGTTAAACTGTTTTCTCAGCCTTTTTCTCTTTGATTCAGAGTCACGGCTGCATTGCAACAACAAAAGCCATTGTTCTCTTTATAGTTTGTCAATGGACTGGTGACTCATGAAACACATGACTAAGAAAACTCCCACTACCAGTGATGTAAGTAAAAATTGTTCATCTCAAACATCACATTTGCTTTGTAATTTCTATTGTAACAACAAAACTTCAGCAAAAATTCCAAGTGGTTGGTTGTACACTGCTCAGCTTACTGCCATTGTGTCCTTGAACAAGACACTTAATTTGCCTTTATGAATGTTTGACATAAGTGTTTCTTGGTAATGGGAGCATGAAATAGTGTGGACAGTGTGAATTTGAGTGCTACAATATATATGACTAGTGGAAATAGTATTGAGCAGAATGACCAGTAAATAAATCAGATTTTTGACTTGACTGAGAAAACATACTATAAATACCTATATTTGGTAAAAAGTTGCTCTTAATCATTGTTGAGTAAAATTTGGCCACAATACATTGATTATATTATTAGAACATAACTGGCAATACAAAACAGCTCCAGCTTGTTTTTAAGTGCAAAATCTTCCTCTTTCAAATAGAACAAAAGTTGTGTATCCTTGTGGGGGCTTGAAGTGTGAAGTAAGGCATATTTGACTAATGCACATTTAAATAGCCTTCTGCACTTGTTTTGTGGTGAACAAATCCAAAGAGCAGTGTTTCTGCTCTTCCTCCTTGTGCCGTTGTAATTGCAGAGCTCACGCCCACAGCGGGCCTCCTGCAGAGTGAGCCGGTGCCGGTGGGTGGTCCCGGCCGCTGACATATCAGAGCTGTTTATTAAGAGGATGACAACTCTATCAAGCCCCATAAGCGGGCCCTCGTGCACAGGACTTCTTTTGTTACTTTCGGGGAGGGTGTCATCAATCTTGCTGCCATGCTACTCTCTTGAGCTGTTGATGGCAAACACGATTCTTCCCCTGTTTTTTTCTGCCTGGCCTCTCCCGCCTCGACGCCCAAGAAGAGGGGAGATACGAGGACTCCTCCGCCCCCAAGAGTGCCTTCTGTCTGACAGGCGACGGAGCAGCCCGCTTGGACACCAGCGCGGGATATATGGGAGCATGAAATGAAAAGACGCTGACAGGACCTGCTCGCTCTGTAATGAAGGTCCTCTGGAGCTGTGAACGGACACACACAGCACACGGGCCTTTGTCTCCACGCGCTCCCACTGAATCCATCTCCATCCATCTGAGAGAAGAGACAACCAGACATCCATATTCTAACACGTGGAGAAAACTGGATTCATACATGTTAGAATCCAACACATGAAAAGGGAGATTACCACATATCATTCCCATCAATATTATATATTTATATTACACACTATATGAAATTCAAAATGTGACCATTGGGCAAGACACTTGGCTTGTCTTGCTTGTGAGAATGGTTCATTAATACTGAAATATAGAAAATTTTCATTAACACAATATATGAAAATATATATAAAAAAAAATCTTGATGTGGTCAGTGGAGAATAGGTCTTCTTGAACTCAAACGAGTATAGGAAGTAAAGGAGGTAGAATGGACATTACCCTTCAGAACATTTATTGTGTTTTAATCAGAAATAACCCCTTTCCCTTAAATAGTACTTCCTTCCACCATCAATTGAACGGTGACAAATCACATAGACTTAGCACCTAATGTGATCCCTTCTAGTTTAAACTGACACAGTAACAGCAATACACATTTCATGTGAGCATGTCATACGCATGTTTTACATGCCTATCACTGAGTACAAGCTATGGGTCAATTCTTATTGAATTACATTTTACACTTAAATAATTATTCTTGTTCTAGTTGTTCTTTGCACACATTAAACCAGCTTGTCCAAACAGGGTAGAGTGGTTTCTGTCAGTGGCGCCTCTCCACAGTAGATCATGCTGTGGTGTCCTCTCAGCAGCAGGTAGAAGTGATGACACATGGGTCAGGTTTTGCCTGTTTTTGTGCAGGCCTCAGTCCTGTGCAGTCACTGAGCCAGAGCCTGCTCCTCTGAGTGCAAGCAGCTCAGCTGTGAGCTGCTCACACAGATGGACTATGATGTATGTACTCCACTTTAGCATTGGCTGAGGTCACACACTCCATAAATGTCTGAGACAAGTCTGATATTTTAATCTCTTTTTAGTGAGGGGATGTTGGGCCTTTTGCCCAATCAATACACTGGGCAATAGCCTTGCCAAGATATCTCCTGGTAGCTTTTCATTGTTCTGTCTGCGAGCCCAAATGTCAAGCCCAATAGCAATGCTCAAAGTGATGTTGAAATATGGTGCTTCAGAGCCGTCGTTTTTATGAGCTTCTGAAATGAATGAAGTGCAGAGGTGGCTATATGGCCAGACTTTCAGGTGAGAGTACTGCTACCTTAAAATAACACTGGCTTGGTAGTCCGTCATTTTAATTAGCCTATTATTTAAGTCTATCAAATTGTTATTTATTTAATTCCAAAGATTTTCAAACAGTAACTTTACCTACCTCAGGATAATCTCCAACCGTCACGTTTTAAATAGAACGGGATGAATGGTCCTTGCAAATCTTTGTTTATTCTAGGATACTTAGTCCACTCACATTAACTGTTTCATTTCATATTGTGTGACTGAAAGGGTTTCTCTGGAAGGGCATCTGGCATAAAAGTTGTACTTACCTTATGTAAGGATATTTTTTTTTAATTCTGTGCTTAAGTGTAATTTTACTGGAACAATGTAATAAGATACAATTATCTCAATGTATTTCAAAACCAAACTTGATCATTTTCTATTCTTAAGTTATTTGAACAAATTAGACGCCGTTATAATGTAAAATAACTTCCTGATGAAGTGTGGGGCTGCAGAATGGGAGAGCGCTCTTGAAATCTCTCCTTTCAAATCAACCCTGGCCTGTTTAATTCACAGTCAACAATAGCCCCAGATCCCAAGCCTTTGTAAGCACGCGCCGCCAAAAATATCAAGACTTCTCTCCGCATTAACATTGCTAATTTGTTTGCCGATGGTTTCCACGGTGCCGAATAATTGGCTGTGAGATATTGTTTGTTCAGGTGTTCTGCATAATTGAATCCTGTATTGAAAATAGTGTGCATGAATGTTGGAGAGAATACTGAAAAGCGGCACGTACTTTGTAATACATTTTTCCTTTGAAACGGGCCGATTGCCGTAGATTAGTTTTCATCCCAATAGCGACTGGTGATGATTGCCGCGCATTAATTATCCGGGCGCACACGGTTGGAATTTCAAACTCCAATTCAGCCCTTTTCAATTAATACCCTCTTGTTAAATGCTGGGAGCCTTGAGAGGTGATACGCGTTTCCTCTTGTTGCCCAAGGATCCATTGCTTTTTCGCCCATGATGACCTTTTGAAACTCGAACATTGATTTCATGCATCCATTATTCCTATGAAAGAAAGCGTGCTGGAGCTGTGAGCGGCGTGCTGATAAGGGTGAGCTAGCATGGGTGGACGAGGGGCGGTATACTTGCACATGTGGTAGTCGTTTTGGGCCCAGCTGGACACATGTGTTGACAGAGCCCTCTGATGTATTTGATGGTGGTTAGCCGAGCAGAGAGGGAGCTCGGAGCCAGTTTGATTCAGTTCCTCCGCCATGACCTAATGCCTTGGCTCAATCAGTCACCTTGTCCTCCCCTTGACCCTTCACCCTGCAATCCCCTGTGCTGTCCCAGAGGACGCTGGGAAAACAACACACCGGGACTCTCCGGACTACAGTTTTGTCCTGCTCCAAATGTGTAATCTATGAAACATGCTAAAACAGAATTGGCCCAACCCTAGTGAACATTGTGGTTTTCTATGAGCTGATTGATTACATTTATGTTGGTGCTATTACGAAAATTCTGATAGTTATTTACAATGTTTAATTCATGTAGTTAGACAGAGCTATCATTCTCTTACAAATCCTTAAAAAAAATTGTTGAGAAACTACATTATATTTAAGTTACATGTACCTCAACTAAAGTAACTTAAGTCTCTAACTTAATATATTTATGTTAAGCAGATTAATAAAGATATGTGATTCTAAGTAATGTGTTATATACTTTCCTCCATTTTAAATTTTTTCCATTTTCATCCATTTGTTTATAGTTGATTTAGGGCTGGGCGCTATGGTGATAAAAATCTAATTGTGATCTCATCCTTCTGACAATATGCAGTTTTGTTGATATTGCCAGATCTTCATTCAGTATTTTGTTAGTTCATTAATTTAATGCAGCTCCAAACTCAAAAACACTTTTTCTTCACCCACTCCTACTGGTCAGCCTCTGTCACGCTCTGAGTGATTTCAGTCATAGTGAAGAATGAACTCTCAAAAGTATGATTTGAGCTCTATCAAGGCAATAGAAACATGTCGACATGAATCGAAATCATGATCTGACTTTAAGGAACTCATTATAATATATTTTTACATATCACTCACAGCTAATTAAACTAATATAATACTCAATATTTCCACCAACGTGCTCAGGGAATATAGGTGTAAATTATAGTCTACTAAAAATACTATAACCTGGCACCAGCATTTTTCTTAAGACTTTTGTCTAAAAAGTATACCATCCCATATCATACTATTGTTTTTGTTCGATATTTTTCAATCAAACCAAACCTCCCTTTGGTTTCTCTAACACTAGATAGTCCGGCACTGTACTTGCCTGAGATCCTTGCATTATTCCAACAAAACAGATTATTTTTTTATTATGTGTATGATAATCAAATTGATGCACAGTAGTAGTTTAGTGTCTCCATAAAATAAGGTTTACCCACTTCGCGACCTGACTCTTTGAACCAGGAAGCTCAGTACAGACTCCAGCCTGAGTTCACATTTGTCCCACTGCTCATTCTCTCTCCTTTTGTGTGTTTCCTCGCTCCAATAACCAGTGACAGAGATGTTTTAGGACTGTGTGACAGAGTGCTATTTGCCATAACTGACATCTTCATCCCATCACTTTAGCTTGTTTTTCTTTTTTTCCTCTTTTTAAGTTGTTGTGCTACTTACCAACCGAGTGTGGGCTGGCATCTGCGGTGTTTCCAGGCGGATACACTGCAGTGGACTGGGAATTCCTTGGACTCCGACAAGGCCACAGCAGCTCGAGCAGGTGGAGAGAGGAGAGAGAGTGAGTATGGACACACAGTGAAAGAGAGAGAGAGGGAGAGAGAGAGAGAAAGGGAGAAACTGAGTGACTGAGTAGAGTGTTTAGCAGACATGCTGTCAGATTGCGGGGTCAAAGGGGAGCGGCGTATCGATGGGTAGTATTCGCTGGTGGGAGGCAGACAGGAAGCAGGCTGGAGCTGTGAGGAGTTTGAGATGTAGAGTAGCAGCAGAAATCATCACGCACACACATACACATACACACATACACACACACACAGACACATGCACACAGCTCACAAGATGAATGTGAATGAGACACAAACAATGGGATATGCGGTCAGGTCTCAATAGCAGGAATCCAATACAGATGATTCATTTTGTCTAGTTAAGGCGCTGACTCCAAAATATAACCTGATTTTGGTTATATATTGATCATGTGGTGTGTTGATGTACAGTTTTTGAGCCGAAGGATTGTAGTAGTACTAGTAGTATACACAAAACCAATAATACTTAATTGTGGCCATTTTTACTCGTAAATGAGTAAATGATGGATGATATTTACATATAAACACACCAAATATTTAAGATGAACTAAATAAACTGACTTTTCAGCTTCTTTTTTGAACAGCAGCATGTAAAATGTGTATTACTTTAAACATATTTTTATGAACCGTGTTTCTGAATTGCTACTTTGCTTTGCAAGAAGTGATAGCCCTGAGAGACACATGTCATTTATCATTGATAAACAAAAACAACTGTTGGTGAAAGATTGATGGCTGAGAATTAGCAAGTGCATTTGAATTTAAACATCATTGTCGCTTATTAGAATCATTTATGAATACTTAAAACCTTACATAACTAACTAGATTAATTCTCATTCCTATGTTTTACCCCTTATATACACTTTTCACATCAATCTAAAGTAACTAAAATAGCTATATATATATATATATATATATATATATATATATATATATATATAGTCTACTTTTGGTAAAAAATAAATAAATAAATCCATAAATAATAAATAAATAAAAATAAAATAAATCACAATGTAAAGTTTATGGAGTTACTGAATAATAATTATATAAATAATCATTATATTATTAATTAATGGTTAATAATGAGTAAAACTGTAAAATGGTGCAAAAAAATGCAAATCAATATAAATTTAAAAGAAAAATATTTAAGTTGATTTCTTTTTTAAGTTCTTTTAGTTGCTGCCTTAAATAAAACTACATTGCCTCTCACTTTTACTTGAGAAACAGCCCGCGTCAGTTTGTAATGATCTGATACTTTGACCTAATTTCATTCATTGGACATTTTGATAACTTACAGTGTTCATATCTCATTTTGGGAGCGTACTATGTCATTGTGATTACTGGAATAATATCGCACTTGCCAAAACCTTACATAACACTGTCTCCAAAGTACATTGTGTCCAAGTAGAATAATGTGTGTTTGTGAGAAAGATCCTGTCTCTAGTGGCTGACGTGTCCCTGGTATTCTCCTCCAGATCCCCAAAGCTTTAAGTATACACCACTGACACTAAGTAAATGCCTGTTGTGTTTTTAGGCCTAGTTTGCCCAAGCTTTTCAGTTACCAGTGGCCCGTGATGCCTGACCCCTCCCTCTGTTTGTCACCGCTGGCTCTGCGCTCTTGTTTTCCCCCCGTCGCCATGGCAACCACTGCTGCGTGCCTTTGTGCTGATGTTTGTGAACTAAGGTGTCGCCTGTGTGTTTAATAGACCTCCCAGTTCACCTCGGCGTCCGGGCCCTGGCTGTATATAGTCCCCCTGATGGAGCTGCATGTCTGGGCCCATGCTGCCGCTCAATTGTCTCTGGTGTCAGTGGTAGCAGAGCAGAGGCAAGCCCGGTTTGGAGGAGATATGCCTGATAATGGCCGCTTTGTTCTTGGTCAAACAGAGACCCACAAAAGCGCTGGAAATGGTCAGCTGTGGCCTATTCTCCTCTGGCCACGGTGCTGCCAGGATTCGGCACCTTGTGAATTACCACCCTCACAACCTTTCACATATAAAAGCACTCTTTGTAGCAGCAGGAGCCTGACATTTGCTTTTTGTTCTGTACAAAGAATTTTTAATACTAACTTTTTTGTACGCCATGTTTATGCTTATAATATATATGTGACATTAGTGTCGGTATGGGGCCTGTCTTTGGAAAAGGCCATGCACTTTATTTTGTCGAGCTTAAGTTCAATGTAATCATTTCCCATAGATGCGTAAGTGCTCCACTTATAGGGTATTACAGTATTTTGTTCCATGACTGATTGACAGCGTGTGTGAAGCAGCATCTTTGTTCATATTAGTGTTTGAGACAAATCACTCTCCACTATGGCACTTTTAACATTTGCAGTATAGGAAATATGGTCGCACAGAGAGTGGCTGTGTTTTGTAATTGTGCACTTATAACGGTGAATTTAACAATCAATAAATGCCAAATGCCATGCCATAATCTCCAGGGCAAATGCGGCACATATTCTCATCTAGCTGGCTGGTGTTTTAACCTCTTTAGCATAGCCCCCGGAGGAAACGCAGGATATGATTAGGAATTCGTTAGTGGGCTTCTATTTTTATGCTGATGACACACTTTCTTCTCCCGGGTGCGGCGTGTTGTGCTGGCTCTCGACTTTCTCACTGTCTTTTTTCTGAACTAGATCAGCTGTTTACTACAGCGTACAAATGTGACGTGGGGCGCGTCAACTGAAGTGGCCACCACCTCGCCACTTCTATCTGTCTTGAGAGAAACATCACTGTCATCTAGATACAGTGCTGTGTAATGGTCTTTTAAAAAAGTTGGACCTTGAATAATTTAGGACTTGAAGCCATCATAGGTCATGGTCTATACAGATGAGGTCCATGGGCATTCTTCCTCCTCTTGGTATGATCAGGTCGTTACACCTGTTTGGTGAAGAGGCTGACACTTCCTCTATACATTTCACAAAAATAGCATCAAGCATCAAGAGAACTCACAATCAGTGTCACTGTGCATATGACCCATCCTTTCAGACTGCTAAGGCAACCCAGAACCTTTCTTTTTGAAAGAGCCACTATATTCAGTGTTTCTAAAAACTTTAATTCAGCCTGTATTTAATGTGAAGTGTAGTTTGTTTGATAAGTGGAATCTGGCCTGACTCAGAATGCCCCATCCCAATGGAAACAAGGTGTTAAGTCCTTCCTGCACTGACTTGGTCTTTGTGTTATCCACTGTACAACTTCTGTGATCTTTTGGTTCCTACTGGACTCTGGACCAGTCTTTTGAGTTCTATACAAAAAGGGATGTAATAAAAGCGTGCCATACAATTTAGTGGAAATGCAGTGTTTTTGTTGGTGCCATCATGTTTGGAGCAGATTACATGTGCGCTCCCATGGGCGCCTCCTCTTGTGCTGCAGGTATTGTGAGCGGGCAGGTGGGCTGGTGGCCCTGGGCTCTTGGAGAGGAGAGGACAGTAGCTGCATTTGTTTCTGTGAAAGGGATTACAGGTCCTGACGGCTGTGATTAATCACCCAGAGGCAGACATCTGAATACGGCCAGGGAAAGGTTCAACTTTTTAATTCATCCCACACACAATCTATTGGAAGCAGCTGTTGGCGCCGCTCTGCCTCATCTCGGGGCTCTTTCTTCTCAGTGACCATTGGCTCCTCTGTCTTTCTCTGCCGTGCTCCATTTATGGCTCACATAATTATCTGGGGACGCGCAGTTGTTGTAATTGTGGGGTGGCTCTGGACGCCTCTCTGCCTTCTATTTTTATTGGAGATGGCTCCTTTTCTTCTCTGGTGCAGAATGGTTAATTGACTTTGTTAATGCATTTGGGGATTAGTGATTCCTCAACAACAAATGACCTTTATAGAGAGCACCTCATTTTGTTTATTGTGAGCTTGTCGTATCAGTACAAATTATGCCAGGGCGATTGATTCCAAACCTGGTCATTTTTAGCTCTAATGCGACCTCAGTCACTTTCTTTTCTGCAGCCGCTGTTTAAATAAGGCTTTATATCTTTATTGGTTTTAAAGGATAGGACAGTGGGGTATAGGGACCTGAACAACATGATGGTGACCAGAGTTTTTAAAATATAGACTTGAACTTACAACTTAAAACTGCTCTTTCAGTACAGTGTGCCTCTGGTGGTCACTTATTGATACTCCAAACAGAACATGCGGGTGCTGTTGCATTTTTCATATTTTAATGAATTTAAATATTTAGAGTTGACTGACCTTACAAAGTATTATTGTATTTCCCAAGCACTTTTTGTTTTAAATTTTCCTTTACTTCCCTTTTTGGCAATGAACCTCCAATGGAAGATTTTATGACAGACTGCCTCTAATTTCAAAATGCCATTAGTTGTTAAAGGTGCACCACGTAACATTTCTGGTATGTCACCTGTTTGTCTCCTTGGAGATGTTATTGCTTTGCCTGGAAAGTTCCTCTTATGATATTAGTTATCTTGCATTTAGTTAAGAGGTGTTTTTATTGCTAAAAAAGTTGAAACAAGTACTGTGAGAGGCCCTGTCTCTGCACAGATCTGACTTCATGGAGATAAGCAGGGGATGCCACTAGTTGGAGATAGAAAAGATAAACATCATACTGTGGAGCATTCAAGACAAAGCACTAAAATTCCCTAGGGAGTCAAGCAGGTAATGAAAAGTTGCATAGTGGAGCTTTAAACAGAAGTAGTATTGATTTAAATGTGTAATGCTCCCTTGGTGCTCTATATTCTGTGGCTGATGTGAGTCCATGTCACCCAGTCCTAGTACTTTTACATTGGAGTGAGCGTGATCCACCGTGACCTTTCCGTTTGCCAGCCGCGCTTGTGCCTAGACTGAAATATCCCCCTCAAAGCTGATTTTTTCCACCATCAAAATGCTTCAAATTCATAAACATCGGGGTGGCGGTGCGGTGACAGACAGCTGAAATCCAGCGCTCTGAATAAATTTGCAATGGTGGCCGTGCTCACATCCACTGGCACACGGGCAGGCCTTCTCATTAAGACTCAGCAGGTTATATGATGGTATTGCTGGAATCCCTGGAGCAAAATGAACAGGGACAGCTACACTGCTTAATGCAAGGTAGCCTAGCAACAGATAGTGGGATGGCGCTGGAAACATACCCTCATATTTATGTTTACATGAGAGAATGATTTGTCTGTCAGCCTGATGGATCCTAATGTTCTCCTCTCCCCGGGGCTTTTCTTGTGCCGCACGCAGGCCCCACACTTACCCTGAAGGACAGGCACCACCTTCCCCAACACGCATGAATACTTAATACTGTTAGACTGCATTTATGCAAAGAATGGAAATGGCAATGGGAGAGAGGGAGGAGAGGACAGAGAGAGAGAGAGAGCGAGAGAGAGAGAGAGAGTGAGAGAGAAAGAGAGAGAGAGAGAGAGGGGTGGGAGGTAAGATGCATCAAATACATGACACTGTATGCCTCGTGAACATGGAGTGGCGTGATAGAAGGCAGAAGGGGGAAAGACAAGATATAGGGGTAATCCGATTGTAGTTTTGGAGAAGGCACTTGTTCTGGTGTCAACAACTGTCAATATGATTCACAGAGTAAACACTTGATTAAGGGCTTGATTTATTTCTGTCCAAGTTTGCATCAGAAATAACTAAATTACGATATCCCAACCACCAGAAAATTGTATATGAATTTCCCATTGGCCAAATTTCGCCTATAGTGCCAAATCCTAATACGGATTTTAATGTCTAAAATATTATGCCATGCTGAATTATTAGACATAATTAACCTAATTTATTAGAGTCTGTGTGTTGGTTAAAGGACCCATATTACACTATTTTCTGAGCTTTGTTATAATGTTGTTGTTTGTTAGAATGTTGTTTCCTCATCAAAAACATACCTGGAGTTGTATTTTGTTTCATTTACACATTTAACACACAAACCGTGCATATTTAGACTGAGTTCTTCTCTCAAGCAGAAACCACTCCACTTCCACCTTGTGATATCAAGTGATAATACAAGAACTACTCCACTTTGTTTTTAAACTCCTTAACACCTTCACTAGAATCATTTGGATTATTTCAGATCTGTAATTGTCTCTCTCAACTCAACCAATGATAAAAGGTAGGTGTTAACTTGAAAACTACTACAGTATTAGAGCTTTGGGATATATATATATATATATATATATATATATATATATATATATATATATATATATATATATACACACACACACACACACACACACACACATATATATATACATATATATTCATATAAGCAGCAGAGGTGAAGTGAAGTAAGACTTGGTTTGACCCCATTCAAGTCCTGGCATAGTTCTGACTTTAGTACAAAATTTGTCCCAATTTTGATGTATGGATTGATTGTGTAAGTGTGAACACACCCTAAAACTCAATGAAAGTGAAACCAGTCAATAAAGCATGTAAACCTGCTGTGTGAAGATCTAAAAGAGTCACTTCCAGTAAGTAGAGCACATACATGACTTGATCGAGTCTGCTTTTACTGTATGTCCAGCTCCTCCAGGGACAGACTACACCAACTCAATTAGTCCCACACAGCCCGAGTATCAGCACCATAGATTAGATTTCAGCCCGGCCTTGTTTACCCAGTGAGCAACCGGCGGAATAATATCTATACAATTTGTGCTTTCAGAAAAAATGATGATGGTATCGGGGTGAAGAGACGTCTACTGCTGTGTTGTGCTGGTGCTGGGTAACTGGCTGCTGCGGATACAAGGAAGCCCATTGTCAGGAGATATGGGCCGATTGCGCCCATCTTGCCAACTTGTTTCCATAGTTACATCAATGTTGTTGAAGTGAGAAGATCAGGTATTCCAGTGAGTGATCCTTTACATGCTTTACTCCACTCCTATTGATTTTTATCCCATGTTAGAAAAAAGCAGAAGGAACAGACCACTGCAAACTGTCTGAGATATTGTGGAGGTAATAAGAGGGCGCAATGTGTCGGAAACGTGCCAGACAGGAAAGAAAAGAGTATCCACTTGAACAATATTGAGAGATCTCCCCTGTCATGTCCAGTTTGGGCTGTTAGCAGAGGCTGGTGGATTCAACAGTTTGCCATGGCAGTGTTGTTGGCCTGGTTAAGATCTATGCAAAGCTTTAATGGCTCCAAGAAGAGACTTAATCACCGCTGTACGTTAGCCACATGCTCGGCTCCTGCAGCATTAGCAGCGTGTTCCAGGGGTTAGCAAAACACCGCTGTAACACATGATGACTCTTTATGAGGCTGGGGCCTGCACTGCACTTGGAGAGAGAGAGAGAGGGGGCCCGCAGACGATGCTAAAAAGACGGTAATGACAGCCATTCACCGCAATCCAATTATGCAAAAGGGAGTCTAAACAATTCCATCATCCCCTAAATTAGATTGTCCTAACGAGATAAAGGCACCAATTAATCCTGAATTAATTTCTACAGCTCATTTTCCCCAGAAAACACTCTAATATGCAAATGCCAATGAGAGGCAGAGGCAGCCTTCTGCACCTTGCATCGGCGCCTCTCGGTCTGCCTGCCTGCACTAGTGTTTATTAGCAAATGAAAACATGTAACACGTATGAGAGCTCAGGTGTGAACGCCAAGAGGAAGAGAGGGACAGGAAAAGCAGATTTGTCTAGATTTTATGTACAGTTAAACGAGTGCAATCACAGAGTCATGGGAGATCATAAAGGTAGTGATGCTATTATAGACTCAAGATGATGACTTTTATTTGGTCAGTCGTAACAGCTGATGAGTCAAGACATTATCAGCAATATAACTGGTTCATTAAACACGTGCAGAGTGTGTGCATAGTATTCTTGGCATGTGATATATTTTCAGCATCTGGTAACAGTATATGTACACACAGTATATGCATCTTTCAACCCAACATCAAGTGAAAATGCAAAAGAGTCTTTATTAGTGGACATTAGCGGTTGACCAGTATTGATTTTTTTCCCATTATTTTTTTTTTTCTATGGTGACACTGATACATGCTTTTAACTACTGCAACCAGTAGCTGATAAGCTCTGTCAATGCTTTGGACACAATATGTTAAACAGTATAAAATCAGCCCAGTATGACATAGAATTACTATTTATTCACTACTAAGTCAATACTCTACTTATTAATTATAAATAAATAATTCAATTTAAGAAATCACTCTGTATTCTCATAGATTTCATATAATTCTGTAATGTCACAGTAGACCCACCACACTTTGATAAAGCACTTATATGTACGATGATACAATTCCACCTTCTGTTTGGGGCATGCTTTAGTTTAGTTTTAGTTATCTATACATTCTTTTACATCAAAGGTCTGAGGATCGATACCTGCTTGGACCACGCTCTATAATTGTGTCCTTAGGCAAGACACTTCACCTCCCTTGCCGAGCATAAAAGTGGTGGTTGTTGGAGGGGCTGATGGCGTAGATTGGCAACCTTGGTTCCATCAGTCTGCTGTAGCTACAAGTATGGAGGGAAGGTTATTTTGCATAGTATATATATAAATTATTTAAACCCTATAATGGCCAATTTTATCCTTAGAGATAATGAGTTGGAAGCACAAACAAACTGAATGTCCCACAGTGAACTTGTTTGATTTCACTGAGGAAAATTGAAAAATCTACATTCAACAGTATCACTCCAAAGAGCTATTGTGCTGGAAGCTGCAGACCTCTGAAGCATTGCATAAACATAGACTGAGAGAAGGGTTCAAAAACAAAACCATTAGAATTTTGGTTCATCATAATCATCATTATCATTCGCACAGTCCTAATTGTTTCACTGCCAGCTGTCTTGAGTTGCTATAATTGAGTGATCTGACACATTTTTCACTAGCGCCTACGATGCCGCCTCCCGTCTCCCCGAACCCCGCTGCATAAAACTACCCAAAATGACTCCAATTTTCCTCAACAAATAAAACAGTTCCTTTTCGTCCATTTTTTACAGCGTCTCACGTCTTTATGAACCTGGTTGAGGCCTTGAAGCGCCAGTGTGTATTGATCGCCGTGGTGAGCTACTACCACCTGTGCACCCCCCCACTACCACCTCCCCTCTCCCGCGATGACAGAAACAAGCGGGATGTCAGTTGCCAGGCAATATTCACAACCACTGGCCCACATCAGCTAATTACCAGCAGAAATCACGTATTGACAGACAGGGGGCCCTTGCATATTGATCGGCCGCTACTGCCACGTTCTAAATCACCAAACGCTAATGAATCATTTCCCATTTGAGAGGGAAGAGGAGAGGGGGTGGTGGTGGGGGGTGAAAAAGGCATTAGTCGTATGCTTTGACGTTATACCTGAGCACAAATCACACTGGGTTCTGCACTGCCTAGACCTCACAGTGTCTTTGGTGATAATATGGTAGTGCACCTTAAGCATTTGAAACAAGACCCTATGTAACCTCTATGGTGGAGGGTCCTTCAGCTACTAGATGTTTTTATTTTGCCTGTAAAGTTCCACATTATGGCATTAAAATGATCTGTCAGTATAGAAACAGGCAGGTGACATGATCATGTCAAGTTTTAGGTCAGATCTGTAGAGGCGACCAATGTAAGAATGCTTGCCTAACCAACCAGTCACTTCTACATTTAGTTTGAATCCAGAAGGGACTGGAACCGGACCATAAAGCCTCAAAAACCTCAGCCCAAACTTGATATGGTCCGACCACAGATGCTTGAAAAATACTCATACATTCAGAACAAAATTTATAACTTCTTTTACCTGAGATAAGTAATAGTTTGGTGCTTTAATTACTCTTTTCTAACTCCTTTTTACATATAAGCAGTCACGTTTATTTTTTGACATGAATGGAGCATGAGTCTCTCTTATTGGTTAATTCGCCTGTCAATCATGCTCTCTGAAATCGGGGAGACAGGATACGACTCCAGATCCACTGGTCTTTGTAAAGTTTTGTCAAAGCGAGTGGTTCTGGCGGGTCAGGTAGGTAATAAGAATGCGTGTGTTTCAAGGTATTTTTGAGTAATAATAACACCTGTTATTGAATGACTGATGGAAAAGTTTAATGCCATATAGAGGAACTTTCCAGGCAAAAGATAAGCAGATGGTGGACCTCCTCCAGGAAAGTTACAGTCCACCTTAAAATACTTGAAAAACTTCAATTGTGCACATAAAGAAACAGTTCTCAGCATTTGACCCAGGTTCAATTCTGCTGCTTATTTTTTGAACCACGAGTGCTTGTTTGACTGTGCCAACAGCAACAACAAATCAATAATTAAGTAAAGAAAGAAATCACTAAAACAAACTTTTTATTTTTAATTAACACAAAAACTCTTTATTGGATTCAAAGTGCTCTTGTGACAGTTGTGCAATCTGAGGGCTTGTGGGGGAAAAGTTTGAATAAAAATTTGAAAAATAACTAAATATCTATAAACGTTTTAAAGCTTTAAAGGTCCTATTTTACACATAATGGATTCTTACGAGCTTTAAGTCATCTCAGAATGGAGTTGTGTTTTGTTTCATTCATACATGTTTGTGTAATCCTTTATTATTAGAATGTCTACAGCTCTTAGGGCTCTGTTCCACCTTGTGATGTCATACAGTATTAGTTTTCAAGTTAACAGCTACCTTTTAGCTTTAGTTCAGTAGAGACTGGCAATTCCAGGGCTGAAATCATCCAAATGTTTCTAGTGAAGGTGTATGATATCACAAGGTGATGTTTTCTGTTTGAGAAAAGAACACAGTCTAAATATGCAGGACTTGTATGAATGAAACAAAACACAATTTCGAGTATGTTTTTGATGAGGAAACAACATTATAAAACAGATCAGAAAACAGCGTGTGGGCCCTTTAAATAATCACAAACATTATACCTAGACTACACCTATCCCCATAGCTTACAAATCTCTCAGGACTTGATAGTGTCTGTCTGGTGCTCTCCTCCCTCTCCTCTCTCCTCCTGTGTGCTGAGCAGTTATTTTTCAGCAGTAGCAGCAGCAGTATCTGTGGCATGGCAGTAAATACCCCTCTCCTCAGACTGCGGACCCAGAGTGACCCCTGCGACCTCGGCTCGTCTCCCCAGCCTCTGTCCAAGGTCTCCTCATTGTACGGCCCCTCCGCTCGGCCAGCCGCACACCCTGTAATTCACCGGCCTGCTAGATCGCCTGCCAGGAGCTATTGATTTTTGTTTCCCCAATCTCCAGGAGAGAGGGGAAGAAAAGATTAAAAACACTTTGTCAGTTTGGTGGGGAATAAGAATTCTGCGCAGGGGGATACCTAAGAGGGCGCGGGGTCAAGGCTGAGCCACTGTACGTCTTTATGGCTTTAACGGTTTATACACTGCACGCGCCTCTGTCGAACTCTGCTTTGTTTTAACGTCTTTTCAAAACAGGTTGCCATTTCTTCTAGGTTTTATAGGTTGTACTCAGTTTTAAGGCTACATTTGAGGTTATATGTAATAAGAGAGACAAACCATTGTCCTTGGGAATTAATGTCAAAGATTTACAAATATTATGCTATTATGCTTTTTTATTTTCTATCTATACTCTAATATTAAAAAAAAAGTATGACATAATTGTATTGTTGATCCAGCAGGTTATACTTAAAGGTGTATTATGTAACTTTTCTGGTGGAGGGTCTGCCATATGCTTATCCCGATAGAGATGTTATTTCTTTGTATAGAATATTCCCCACTATGGCATTAAACATAAATATCTCAACTGAAACAAACAGGTGATGCCACAAGGCCAAGTTACAGGTCAGATCTGTGGAGATATGACCCTGCTCACTGTAACAAATGTTCAGTTTTTGTTAATTAAATTATTTTTTGCGATAAAACCTTTATAAAATCTTTTACAGTTTACCTACTTGCTCGTA